GATACAGAACTCCGCCACTGACCCCAACAAGCTTGACTCAGGAAAGGCAAATCATGTGCTGATCACATTGCAACTCTACGTATCGTCATCAAACTAAGCATAGAATGACAATCAAGCCTCTCTCTACCTCAGCTTCATGGACTTCCAGAGGGCCCTCGACAGACAGCGTTGACCGAGACGTAATTTTGAAACTACCTTAACACTATGCCGTGCAACGCCCAAGTCTCTATCAACCTCATACAACAGCTGCCGATATGACAATGCCACATATCAGGTGATCCACAACGAAAAACTCAGCGAGGCATTAAAAGTGAATACAAAAGTAAGACAAGGATGGCTGCCTAATATCACCAATGATATTCCTAATTGTAGTCGACTACATTATGTGGACCACTGTGGAGAGTGAGGAGGCAGGAATACGCTGCACTGACCGATAAGAAGACTCTAGAAGATATGGATGTCGCGTATGAGGGATTTATCCTGAATGTCACTCACACAGACTTGAAGACTCACAGGTGAAAACCAACAAGCTGGCTGAAGAGCCTAGCATAGAAGACGGAGGTGATGAAGATAACTGATCAACCGACATCAACAACAACCAGCACCAATCACCATCAACGGGATAGATTTGACAGAGGTTACTCCCTTCATGTATCTAGGAAGCACGGTTTCAACCACGGGCGATCGGAAAGGATGAAGATGTCAAAGGTAGCAAGAATCGAAAAGGCAAGATACGCCTTCATCAACCTGAATCAGTTTGGAATTCTTCTTCACTCAGCTAGCATAAAGTACAAGATTCCGAATCTGAACACTGATTTCAAGTCAGTCAGTTCTTATATGTGAGTCAGAAACTTGGCGTGTTACGAAAAGGATTTCCAGCAGGTTACAGACTTTCACCAAAAGCTGCCTCCTTCGCTGGCTTTATACTGAAGAAAGAATGAGCAACAAGAAACTACGGCAGCAAACCAACAGGCGAGAAACAATTTTTCAACAAATATTGATAAGAAAGTGGAGATGGGTTGGAACACGTCACTGAGAATACCGTTGGGTGGCATCACGCGTCAGACCCTCGAGTGGAAACCGAATGGGAAGCGATGAGAGGGTCGTCCAAGGATGGCGTGGAGGAAATCGTGAGGGACAACGGGCGATTGCCGACTCAGCTGAAGAGGACAGCAGGAAATAGAACAAAGTGGAGATGCGTCGTTGAAGCCTTATGTCCCACTGTGAACCTAAGGGAACAATAATAATAACATAACTCCACTTGGTCATACCAGCTATCTACGAGATCATGTCAACTGACAACAGTTCACAACAATTGGCGATGGGTTCACAATATCTATTCTTATTTAAATGTCCAGAAATACCATTTAGACAGATGTGTGACTAGGTTTTTAAAAAACTAAAATTCTGTAAATATCACACTTGTGAACTACCTGACAAGTTAATTAACTAAAAGGGGCTTCATTACCAAACAGTGAATGGATATTCCTGTCAATAACAAGAGCTTTTCTGTGACAAATGCCAACAGACAAAAATAATGTCAGCATCCTTTTACCGGTTGCTTATATATATATATATATAGGATCATGTCTCGGTCAGGAAACTTCACTACTCATCATTATATCAAGGTATTAATCAGTCTTTTACACTTACTTCGTCATTATACACCAATTGCTAGAATGAAACATACAAGAATGGTCGTGTGACGCGGGTATAACGATACAGAACGCAATGAGACCAAATGAACTATTTTCCCGCAGTACCTTCTGATTCACTAAGGCACGAAAAAATTAGAAGATAAAGACTGTCTTTTAATTATAGGGACAACTTCATCCGAGAAAAATACACCATTTGCCATGTACATTAAATTGTGGTATTTCGATAATGAAATCACTTACCCTGATTGATCCCATGACATCTCACACTGTCTGATAAAGTTATAATGTCAACAAAATCTAAGTTTGAAACGGGAAATCCTGCACATCAGCAGCCACTGACTTTAAATGTAGACTGCGATTTCAGCTTCATCTTATCCAACGTAACTTTTAGATCCTTTGTTTACACCAAAATGTATCAAGTGTAACATGTCACCGCTGACCTACATGACACGAGACTACTTTGTATACAGTTTCTGATGAGGCAAACGTTATGGAATGCTCGGAAAGGAAGGTGTTTATGCAAATTTCAGGCTTCGCATCACTCATCAACCACATTTCCCCGAGAACCCGAACCTGTTCTAAACAATTCGGAAGTGAAGGAATGTGGCGATGATATTTGTGAGCCACTGAAAAAATTTGGATCTCCAATATGTTTCAGGCGCGATTACTGATGAATTACAAAAGCGCTAATACTATGTTCACAGCTTCCTGCAGAGCAGGCCATGACTTCTAACATTTAATGAAAACAGGAGGATATTTTCATCTTGTTAAAACCAAAAGCTTTTCAAATTCACAAGTCCTGGATTGCAGGGATTTGATTGGGTTCAAGATAGACTACATCACGGACCGACATCATTTAGGGAAGCATTTCAAACACAAAAGTACCGGATACTTATTTCGTCATAGTTAGTGACCTTTTAGAAGCACTCACGCATCACTTAGGATTTACAGGTTATAAGGGGAAGTTAGAATTCAGTGTTGACCCAATAATTGTATTGTGACGTACTCGTCTCTTAAACTGCAGATCCTGGGTCTTGTCACGAGCATGTATTACTAATGAGTCTCAAAAAACTAGGAAGTAACACCTATTCAGTACTACCGAGTTTTCAGTAATTCTCCAGGTTTTCGAATATTAACATCTATTATCCAAAACTATTATTACTTAACATTCTGACAAGTTAATCATGAGTAATGTAGTGGAAAAATACTAGAAAGGTGATTTCTCTTAGTACAAAGATTGTAATAGCTGTAGGTCTAAAAATCAGTTATATCAAGACTGAAAGACTATTACAGATGTACTACAAATGATTTTCCAATGAAAAATTCGACAATACAAAATCCATAATCTAAAGAAATACGAGAAATCCTTCAATCTAAGCAAATAAGTACTCGTTTTTCTGATGGGTGCGAGTGATTAGTGAATTTATTTGTCGCAAGATTATACAAATAATATTCCTGAACACCTAATGCCAGCTAGCGTAACCATATAGGAACCAATGGAACCTTGAGTGAACAGATGCTCAACAGGAAGATTAATAGGTTTTAAGCTAAAATACGCAACAGAATGGAATGTTTTTCGATTGTGATAGTGACGTCATCATCTGTTACTTTTCACAATTACTACAAATGAGTATAAAGTTCTAACGTTTCATATGATTACTTTATAAATTTCTAATTCTTGGTAAGAGACTCATGGTGATGTACACATATTTCAGCTCGGGTGGTAGACTAATAACCGTAAGTTCATTGGTTTGAATTCTGTTGCTACCTGACTTTACAAAGTAGACTCAGTTACCACCATGATAATTTTATGACTTTTTTACCAACTGGATGCAGGAAACAAGTAAAATAATTAAAAGCGACTAGACTACGCGATACGGAAGTCTACATTAACGCATCAATTTTGGTTGGAGTAGAGAGACAACCTTATTAGTTTAACATCTCCAGCCTGGAATTCGACATTCAAAGTTTTCATTCCTAATGCAATCAGTGCGTGATTACCACCATAAACCACCATAACATAACTGCTTAAAACAAAGGCCATCAGAAACCTCCACCACCGTATTGCACAGAATTTTACCTCTTCACATTATTTTAATCCACTTCTAATGGTATTATTCACTATTGCGGGTATTTAAAGTGTTTGCAGCCTGCTGATTCGCAAGCTCCTACTGAACTTTAAAAAGACAAAAATTGTGGATGACCACCTATCCCAATACATGAAATAACTGCTCGTAAGTTATGTCCTTGTATCTCAAAATGTACTCCTGAATTTATTTACAACTACCTTTCAACCAAATGTCGTGCATTGTTCGAAGAAGACGAAAAAAATATCATAACAGATTGGTTTGAGCTACCCATCAGACAACATTATTCCGTATTAGATAAGTTTATTTGAATTAACACAGTAATTCAGTATCAATAACTGGATGACATTTCGAGTATTATCAATTTAGTCACACGACTTCAAAATTTGTCTTACATATTCTCTCTCTCTCTCTGTACTTCCTTTGTTGTGGTGATGCCACTTTCCGCTAGGGAAAATTAAATGTAGATCATAAAGAAGTTGTATGGCACATGGATTCAAATGCTGACTCAGATCTAAAATGTGTTTAACAAAAGAGAAAACAAGAGTGATACGAGGAACAAAACAAAACTGTTACGAATCACGGACGCAGCTAAAACAGACCTCAAATCACCACATAAACACGTTAACATCCAGGAAGAGATCAACAACACAGACGAAAGCAATAAAAGAGAATGAAGGCAACCCAATCACTAATAATGTTTAACAACGAAAGCGCTGAATTGACAAGCTCGCAGTAGTCTCGAATCGAACACCACCTGCAACTCATCCAGAAATATTACCAACAATCGCAGGACTTCCAGTGAATATTAATCACCCAACAAAAGCAGAAGTCCTGGATGCAATCAAGCTACTGACAGCTGGGAAAGCAGCAGCACCATAGGGAATCCCTCCTAGAGCAATGAGAGCAGATCCAGAGATTGCGGCGGGTGATATCACGCTACTAGTGCTACTTTTGAAGGAAGGAAAGAAAGTTACCCACCGAGTGACCCATAGCATCTTCAACGGCTGATGCAGAGTCACCCTCCTGTCGATTCCAAACAAAATCCTAAGCCGCATTATTCTGCAAAGACTAAAAGATGCTCTGTATGGAAAATTCTACCCGGAACAAGTTTGATTCAGGAAAAGCATATCATGTGAGGGTCAAAATGTAGGTTATCATTGAAAAGAGCATAGAATGACAGCAAACTGGCTACCTCAACTTCATCGATTTTAGGAAAGGCCTAAGATAGTCACGACCATGAAGTACTCAGAAAAGTGCTTCAACACTACACAGTGCCACAAACCTCTGTCAACCTCATTCTGTGGTGAGAGCTGTCTGCTGTCTTTTTATTCCCTATGATCAAAAATGAAAAAATAAGAATGGATGGAAAATACAATATAGTTATATTTACACAGTTTTACATACTGATTGAATCACTGGTTAGTTGAACTTATAAAGGACAAGATAAGTAATCACAAAATTCACTGTGTTTTCTTTTCTTTCCTTCGTACTATAAGATTACCTTTATAAAGTGAAAGAAAAAACGAGGGAGTGATTAACCATTTTGAGTCATGAGAAAGATAAAATAAACAAAAAGTCCTTATACATACAGCAGTGAATGGAGGCGAACTAAGTAATCTGTCTTAATAAACTACAGTAGAATGTGTCATCAGACGAATATCTTTGCAGGATAATACCAGTTCTTTTTACTTTGTGGATTCTCTTCAACTACGTACATCCTAAATAAATCAATTGAATGTTACGAAATTTTCGAATATATTTGTTACAATGACTTCAAGTTATAGATAGAAAGTATAGGCGAAATAATTTCAAAGATGTAAGTAGACAACTATTTAGTGTTAAAGAGTAACTATTTATGTAGTAATTAGATAAGGGTGTGGAATTTAGATTTCTCTTGGAAAAAAGGATGGGCTACGGACAAAATACAAGACAGAACAACAGAGTTAATTTATACATATTATAGTGGAGAGTTCAGGAGGGTGAGGGTGAATAGTTAATTAAAATTATAAAATAGATAAAATAATTTAATTGACTAGATTTGGAACCTTAATAGTGAGTTCAACTCAGTGAGTGACTATTAGGGATATGCTCTGAGACACTCTCCTCTCAATTCTTCCTATGTACTTGCAGGTGAATTGGTAAATGCAGTTGGAGTTGGCATGAGCAGGATAGTTAACCAGCATACTGTGTTGTAAAGTAGAATGAGTCTGGCAGCGGGAAATGTTTTTTTCAATGCACATTTAATTCCGTTTTCCATTCTTATGGATACTTCTTCACCTTTGTACGCTAGACAGATAAAAAATGGTTTCTTTTCAAATATTTCGGGTTTCAGTCTAGGTTGTGTTTTCCTCCCCATATTTTGATATGAACTTCCAAGGGTTCTTTTCGATGACTGCGAGTTCCTCTTCGCCCTTATCTTTTGAACACAACGTCCTAGCTTTGCTGAAGAGCATTTTCACCAGGCTGCATTTGTAGCCAATATGGTAGGTAGTTGAAGAGAATGCACAAAATAAAACGAGTTCGTATTATCCTGCAAATATGATCGTTTTTTCTTTATTCAAACTAATAAAGGGAACCGGCTGTATGAAATTCCATATTGACTTATTGGATCTATATTACATAGTGAAACAGTATTATTTACTGGCTGACGTTTCGAACACAACTGTTTATTGTCCATATTATCATTATATAGTGTTATTATTATTCTTTTAGGTTCGGAGTGGAACATAGCGCTTCAACAGTACATTTCCATTTCATCCTATTATCATACGCAGTCCAGAAGCATTCATCTTCTTCATTTCATCCTCGGATCTAGAAGGTTCCTTTCACAATTTTTACTGTCATTTCTGAGGATAAAATCTTGATTGACATCGGGAGTTTACAGAAAAAGCCTCAAATCTTATTCATTTTTAAGTAGTATCGTTCACTTTCACCTTAATACCATATCATAGAAATGCATTTTTGTCTAAAATAGGGTCGATTTGAACAGATGGATAAAACAATATGCATTGTGTTGCTAATCGTAAGAAGTAAAAAGGAATGCGAAAACTAAGTACACGACTTATGAATTTGAAAGAAACAATGAGACGAAGTTGTTTCTCCCTAAATTACTTATTTCATATCTACTGACATAGATGCATCTTGTCATACTAGTGATAGTTTATAGCAGGCTGCTTACTTTTGAACGCTCTCTTGGTTAATGATTTCTTCGTATCAGTAATCAGAGTTTCATTGAATTTTACTTTTTTCTTCTTTTTCGGCTGTTCTGGATGAGATGTGAGAGGCGATGTTTCACTGCTAACATCATCGTTAACATCAGTGGCTTCTTGAGATAACTGTTTATCACCCGAGGGTAACTGACCAGCACGCTTCATACCCTCAAGACAGGCAGCACGATGAGCTTCACGATCAGCTTCATTCGCTGCACGTCGAGCCTCATGTTCAGCGCGACGTTTAGCACGAATAGCTTCACGTTGTCTAAGGCGTTCAGATTGTACAACCAATTCTGTTACTGAACGTGTTTGCCAACGGTGATATAAAACAGTACCAGTGTTCACACCTTCTTCTATCTAGAATTGAAAGATATACATCACGAAGTTATTCAAATATGAACTAAGTATATCGCAGTCAAAAGTGATTTAAGAAAAATAACAAAAGCTATCCAGTTAAAAGAATCTTCTACAGGAACTCGAGATTGGTAAACAAAGAAGACTGATCATTCAGCTCTTAAAAATGTACCAGTCAGTTCCGGCAAACAGGCACTAGAAATTGTTTATAACTTGGACATTTACATCAACAAAAACGAACTATACGATCACAGGTACTCAGGTTATAGGGGGAGTCAATTTTTATCAAGGTACAGACTACAGCTGGATAACGAAGTGACTCACTGTAAATCTGGTGTATTAAGGGCTAACCAGTAGTCAAGACATGAAAAAGAAAAACAGCGTTTGAACTCCGGATATATTGAATAATAATTCAATGCTTAAACCAGACTATATGCAGAGTTTTCCTTTGTTTCTTTATTTTTTTACTCCTTGGTGTTTCGAGTGGGATATCGGACTTCAAGCTTTAGCTTCAGCCTGACGCGCAAAATTCCCTTTTTACCAGCTCTACTACCGGCTAAGCGTCGGCTGCATATCAAACCCCAAACTACATGCGCGACCGGAGGGTATTCTGCCACTGAACCACTACACTACTGCTTTCTTTAGCACCATTGTAATTAGCAAACTCAAAAAAGTAAGTAACTGATAAGTAAATAGAAGACAGTATATAGAATCAACAACTGGGATAAATTTGATTCGTACACAACAACGAATATACCTTTATTAAATTTAGTGTTAGACGTGGTCCAATTTCAGTTAATCGAAGTGTAGCCTTTTTAGCAGTTCCTAAATGCTTTAATCCATGAATCGGACCAGTAGTACGACCACGTTTACGTTTACGTGAACCTGACAGAGAAAGAAGAGCCTCTCCATCAGCAAATTGAGACGATGAGAAATTGACATCTGGTACCAGATCAACCTCTTCCATATCTGACAGAATATCTGATAAGGCTGAATCCGACAAAAGACCTGTCCTATAAAACAGAATTTAAAGTTTGTGAGACAGAAGAAAATTCAACGAAAAATGAGCAATCATAATACAGATAATTTACATTTATCAATAACGAAAATCCAACAGACAATAGGTCAAAGCTATCAGATGTATAAAAGTACATGAACTTGATCAATAAGTTGTTTTAGGTGGCTTAATCACTCAAAACCCGATAAGGTTAGCCTAATTTGTTCCAACCATAGATAATCGCCGATGACATAATCGAGAATTGAGAAAATGATTCATAAACTCTTGATTTCAATTCGGTGGCTGGACAGAGACCTGTTTGATTTGTAACCTAAAAGTAGCGCTATGGGATGATTACAGATTGAGATCCGAAAATTGGATGAAATATCTGTACAATGTTGCCTAGTTTTCAATAGTTATCTGACTGAAGACAGATTGTGACAAAATCTATGAAATACCAATCAGGCTAGATGATATTACAGCCTACAGAAAACTAAATAAGAGTCACGTTATGCATTGAAGTTCGACTGCTTATAGTACACACACATTTACATACAAATTTATAGTAGTACAGAAAGTGAGAACACCTGAAGTATTTTGTCTCATAATTACATTTAAACGACCTACGATAGCCTTAAATCAACAGTTTTGTCTTAATGAAACTCAGAGCTGGATACCAGAAAAGACTTTAATTAACAGTCTAAAAGTGGAAACAACACGAAATTGTGAACATAAATAATATTATTTTTTCTATTCAATTCACAAACACATTACCGTCAAAATCTAACCTAGTCAAAGGAGGAAAATGCAGGATAATAGGTAACAGACCGTGATAAATATAGAAAATAAGGTGTAGAGGCATACGAATTACGTGTACGCGCATCTCATCAACAAGTATTTAAGTTGACACATTTGGTAATGTATTATTATTTATTTAATTAATTCCTTTTGCGTTCCGAGTAGAATATAGCGCTTCAAGCTTCAGCTTTGAGTTGTAGTGACAGTCGTTTTATCTTTACAAACTGAGGTAGCTATCCTCACATCCAACATACCCACGGCCTTAGAGAGGTTTCGTAAAGAGTCGGCCTCCGAACTTGAGCAATGTATAATTATTTCAGAAGACTTTTCGGTCAGCGAAGAAATATTCTTTTCTAAAGACTTCATCTTCAACCTATGCATTCATGACTATATTGTGGAAAAAGAGATTTTACGAAATCACTTCACCCTCACCATCTTTATGCTGTTTGTTTAATACTGCTTTAATTACGTGCACAAACTACTGCACACAAGTTTCGGACTTATTATAGCGGCTTAAAATACAAAATATCAACATGCCAAGATGAATACATGAACAATCGATGATATCCAGTTGGTTCTAAGGCCAGAAGTAACTCAGTTAATCTTCAAAACCACCATGTAACTTTGAGTAGTGCATGCTTCAGGTGAATTCCAAAAATTTGAAAAGACAGTAAATTTATCATTTTTCGTACAATCATCCGTTGAAGACACGAAAAGGTTGACTGTTTTTGATCATAGATGTCTACGATCTCTTTCTCACGTTAGGTGGCATAATAAGGTAAGTAATGTTGACGTTAGGCGTAGAGTGTTGGGCAAACAGGGAAAATCAATCGACGAGGCTATAAAGTTAAATAGATTGAGATGGTTAGGTCACGTGCTGTGCATGCCTAGCCATCGCCTCCCCCGATGGGCACTACTAGCTGATATAGGTGCAGGTTGGAAAAGAGTAAGTGGTGGCCAAACAAAAACATGGCCTCATCAATCCATGAAATCCTTGACAGTTAAACTGAATCAGGTAGGGAGATGCAGACTTCCGGGTTGGGGCCCTCGGGACTTTAAGAATCAATGGCTGGAGACAATAGGTGACATGGCTCAAAATCGTTGTCAATGGCTTATGCAGATGTATTCAGTCTCTGTAATCTTTCATATACCTTTATACCATTACTCATTCTGCATCACTCTTCTACTTCTCAACACTCTATTGATTCTCTTCACTCATCTTCTTGTCTACCTTTGTGCGCTATTTGGAACGTGGCAACTCCAACTGCTGCACTTCGATCCCAAGATCTATGTTGAACCCAGAGAGACAGACCGTTTCGCCAGTTGCCTATGGACTGCTAAATACATCTGAAGAGTGATCGAAGGTTCATAGTGTTACCTATATGAGTATACCTGAGTATAAAGAGTTGTAAACCTCCATTATGGCTAAAGAAAATTTGATAAAATCACAGTGTTGTACAGTAATATTTACTGATGACGTTTCGAGCACAATTCATTGCTGCTCATAATCATATCAAGGTACTCGCATAACTTTCTTGCTTCATTTATATGAGTAAAAATTGATAAGACATTTGAATAAAATCAACAATCAATCATCAGTAAATATTACTGTGCAACACTGTGTGATTTTATCACACTATTTTATCCAGAATGAAGTTATACTCTAATACAATGCCCAAGTTTTATCCTTATATCAATCGTTTTAAACCTGACTGATTGACTGGTTTCGACATTAAACTCAGCACAAAAGTGAAGCAGTTCAAGTTGCAACAATACATGTAGCACACAAAGGAAGACAAAAGAGAAAACAAGATATTCGAAAGAACGATAATAAACACAAATGTGAGGGATACGGAATAGTAATATAGAAAAACAAGAGGGTTTCAGTGGACATGGCAGATCACAAAGAGTGAATGCATCTGCGCCAGTCATTGAGAACGATTTTCCAGCCACCACCTTACCAACTGTCTCCAGCCATTGGTTGTCCTTAGAATCCCGATGACCCCAACAAAGCAGTCTATATCTACCTATATGGTCCAAACTAACCGTTATGCACTTCATCGACTGATGTCATCTTTTGCTTTGACCAAGACCGCCTCTTTTCCAACCTCACCCCATATCACCTTAGATTGCTCGTCAAGGAAGGCCAACGATGGCTTATCGCTGTATGGTCTATTCTAGTCCATCGATGTTTTCATGAGGGAGGTCACCATGCAACAACCCTCTTTGTGTTCCATGTTAGTACTGACAAGGAAAAGGTGATTATCCAAACAGAACTGTAGAAGACGATCCCCTTAATCGGTCCATCGGCAGTAGGTGCCGTAAGTACCACCAACATACTTCTCAGGCTGAAACAACTTCTCAACTTCTGCATCGAAATCGTCGGCTAAAACAATCATATCCGCGCGTTCTGCTTTACGCAACAAACTAGACAGTTTTTGGCAGAACTCATCCTTTACTTCGACCTAAAAATAATCAGTTGGGGGCGTAAACGGAGATTTCGAAAAGACGTCGACGGGTAACGCAGTCTTTCCTTCTTCTTCTAACGGGTCCGTTCAGACGGATGGCGCATATACAACTATCTACTGGGATCCAATCGAGTAGGAATTTTTCCGGCCAAGCACTCAATGCAATATCTACACCCACAACTCCTCACCAACTAGCCGAAGAATCTCCTGACACCCGTAAGGTGAATTTTGTAGATTCACACAGTTGACCACGTGGGGTTAAGTGAATGACTACAATCGGATATTGTATCTGTGTCTCCGAAACCCAAAATACATCCAAGGCTAGATATCCCAGAGTTCTGACCAGTGATGCCTGTTGTCCGATCTGACAAGGCGTCCTGACGTTGTATGCCCCAACATGAAGTTCGCATTGTGGCTTTAAGAAACTATCGGGAATGGTTTCCGGCTCTCGTCACTATTAGTGGTCACACAGTTAAGAAAAGATGGGGAACTAGTCTGTAGGACAGTAATAACAGTAGGAGGAAAGCAAGATGACGGTAACGTAGATAAAGGTAGGCGATGATCACGAAGGTTTCTCGAAGTGTGTGGGCGGTTGTTATTTCCCGACTGCTCATACCATACCCTTGGGGTGCCTGAAATAGAAAGAGAACAACTGCTTAAGGCAGGTCAAACACGGCCATATTTACAACTTACCGATGGACACAGACCACTGTAGGGTAAGTCCGGGTGTACAATTTTCGGAGTCGATTTGTTTTTAATCCCCACTCTACGGAGTGGAGAGGTAGGACAGGTCGCATGCTGGTCATCTGGGGGAAACACCTTACTTTCTGTTCCCCAGCATAGTGTAAACATCTTACACTATACTACTAACTGCTTTTGATCTAGTCGCTATCCTAACAACCTTTCTGGCATGATAGGACATGCGGGAACCTTAGTTCCAGGCAGTATAGCTTATCGGGTCATTGTGATAAACAAGCCCGACCACCAACGCCAAGGTAACAGCTATCGGTTGGGCTATGCGAATTTACAAAGAAAAAACACTGACTCACTTGGTTAGGTAGTCGTCCATTGAAGAATACTTAGCTAAATTTGGCACACCTGTAGACTTTCCTGAACCGCTAGGACCGATACCATAATTCGACTGCGGATCAGCAAGACGTCTGCGTTTCAGTTTTGCTCCACCCATACCAAGACGTCGTAGTGCACGACTTATACACCTATTTTCTGTACGAATATGATAGTGTCGGATATATATAACATCGTTCAGCTGGTTTGTGTTCCCTTCGTTTTGACTGGATGTGTCCACTTCCCGACTAACAAGTAGAACACGTTTGACAGTACTAAGTTTGAGCTAAAAGAAAAACATAAACAACAAAAAGAAACAAGTGATTAGGAATTAATGGATAACAATACCAATCAAAAAGTGCGGATAAAAGTGAAGGGCATTCTGCGAAATGAGAATGGGGTTTGAATAAATATGGTTTGGATATCACAATAGTATACTATTATGTCACCACCGTTGCGATAGTGATGAAATAACGAGTTAACAAGGAGACTATCCAAAAATATGGTTGAAACGTTGTTTCATATTTTACTTAAACTATATATTATAAATGAGGTGGGGGTGATTCCGTGTCGATGGTGCTAATAGAATGAGATAGCAACCAGAACCTCAAACACCGTCCTTCTACTATGGGAGATATTAAGGAGTTATCGTCAAAACCTGTACACTTCAGTTTAATTTACAGAGCCCAATAGCATACGATGAAGTTTTTAATTCCGAGGGAACTGAACCGTTTTCCCCTTAACTGGCGGAATGCGTGTAACATTTACTGAAGTTTGAAGTATCAAAAAAGCAATCCCTTTTTCTTTCATTGTGTTAGCAGCCGGGAAGAACAAATTGCTCTTACACTTTTGTCAGCATACAGAATTCAGATAATAATCCCATAACCATTTTATTAGCAACAGACAATACTAGCCAAAACATTAATATAGTGGTTGGTTGTATGCCTGCAATATTTTGTCTACAAGTATCAAAAGAATTTATGGATAGCTCTTGTTGGATTGTTGCAGTACTAACGGCGTTAAGTCATAGAGTAAATAGCCAACTGCTCGATTGGATATTAGCAAACAATTATCGAACTACTCAGCTACATGAAACTGTAATACTGGTCAGCAAATTGAGAGGACAGACCTCATGAGAACGAACCGATAGATGAAATGATTACTGATAAACGGAAAATTTTATGACTTTTCAGGACTGGCAACAAGAATGTTTGACAGAACATTTCAAATAGTTGAACTGGTTGGTGCAGTTGCTCAACATCCTAATCCACCTCAAACGAGACGTATACACTAGTTGTCCAACTCCAATTTTAGTTGCAAACAGACATGATTCAATTTCGGAAGCGATGATGAGTGGTGAACCAAACTTATTGACAGCATTAACTACGGTTTAAATGGACAATGAGATTCCGAAATATTTACAGTAAACTGGTTTAGATCACTGATAATCACCTATTAAAAAAGGAGACCAGCCTTTCCATAATACTAATAGGGGAGTGAACTTGACAGAAACTGTTAAATATTTTAGGATCTTTACTTATATATAGGCTAAGTGAGGGATAAGGGAAAACAAGCTCGACAGAACCAGACAGGTTTCAGTCCGGGATGAGGGCACACTCATTGAACCACCAACCTTAGAATATGAAATACATACATACAATTGACTGGCACTTAACATATTTCTTCACTTGATAGTGTAATTCAGTCAACTGATCAAGATGAGTCGTAACAAAGCATTGCTATGAATTACTTAGAAAGTATATCAATCTAATCAAAGAGTTCAAAAAAATCTTAAGCAGCTGCATAGGACTCAACAACCCTAATGAAGTTGATTAGTGGTGTCCATTAGACACGTCCAAAAACGCCATGCTTTTTTGACTTCGTTTAAGACGAACAGATTGGAGTGAGATTGTTTCACTTTTGTGTCTGAGAAACCTTTATTGTACAAAAAGATCTTGATTTTGCGTAGGCAGGTGTAACGCTTTCATTTAAAGACACTAACAAAATGCAATTTTTTGAACATTAGGAAATTACGTCTCAGTAGGTTAGACACAAGCACTGCCTATGTCACAAGTACAGGAAGGATCTAGAATGACTACTAATTTAAGGATATCTTTACCATTTAACTTGTTTGAGAAGAGGCATTAGCCCTGACGGATTGATAAGTGAACTCTCAGCACTGACACAAAATGCATTTCTAGAATTCGATAAGTTGGAACACCTTAGACGCCATCAGCATATTCAGCTACCCGTAGGCGGGCGCAATTTACTTTGCCTTACATCATGATGGGAAATGGACGCTAAAAGTACAGGTCGAGAGAACATTACAGCTTTTAAATCAAAGATAGGTCTATTCTGTTGCCCATGTCAGATGAAATAATATTGTAATTCGCATTGAAATACGAAGTCGAACGTTGCACAGACAAAACTTTGAAGAAATTGTGAAGTTACCGTTTCCTGAGTTACCGCTACTTCTCTCACAAATGAGCAAAATAAAGACTTGCATTTTCTCAACCATACTTAAAAATTGTTGAAAAGCTTAAAAAAGAAACAATTCGTCTCTACACTTAGCCTTCTTCATATTACGTGCTGAAAAAAATGCCACAAACTATTATTTCTACAATTTCAGAAGTGAAGACAACATACCTTTGGAACGTTCAGTGGTGGAAGCAAATTCTGAAACATATCAACTACCAAACGTAGATGAGGCAATGGAGCTGAAGTGCTTGCATTGACACCTCCCATTCCAAACCCTGTCATTACTAATAGCGGTGGAGTACTATACTGACGACAGTCAAAAACTCGACGAACTAAAGTTAGTACATCTCTTTTCAGACTGTATTCAGAAACACGAAAAGTGAGACTGGGTCCGTGAGGTACACGAATCATGTGTAAGTAGACACCACCACCATCCCCGTCTCTACTACCACTGTCACCGGCTGCCATATTAATAGAAGCTATACCTGACAAAACAAACATGAAAAAGAGGAAAATAAGAATAATTACTGATATCATAAGAAAACAAGAATTGTTGTGAATTGAAGATTGACTATAAAAGAAACAACAAAAGGATACACGAAGCATCCAATGAGAAGTTATGTAACAAATGCGAAGATCTGTGTGTTAAGCTTTTGATCAATTTCAAATGGAATTCCTTCATAAACTGAAGAGCACTCAAATGGTTGTTTTCTGAATTGGCAGAAGTTGGTAAACATGGGACCGACAGTAACGTGCCTGTCTTACAATCGGATGTCCTGCAGTGGTCTTTACGATAAAAACATAGCCGCACTTTGTTTTTCACAGATTTTAAATCCGGATGAAGTAGTACGTGTTAAAAGTTCGTGCAATCTCAACTATGTTGTTTTAGACTAGCTCTACTGAATTACTTTAGTGATCATTAGGATTTTAGATGGTATACCAATGAAATCCACCAAGCATAAAATGAATCATTCCACCGAAAATGGACCTATTTCAAATGAATAGTGGTCTGTTAGATAAGTTTAAAGAAAGTGGGGAACAAAGCGATAAACTAACTTTTTTCATCTGTATTTATGTTCTGATCTTCATTAGTATCATCAGTTAGCTGTTTTAAAGAAGCCTTGGTTAACCGACGAATACGCTTCTGTTTACGCTTGTCCTCTTGTGGATGGGTTAAATACATCAAATGTGTAACGTTCAATGGACCAGCTATAGTAATGAAATCTTTGAGAACATTTTGACGAGTTACACGCAGACGACTTGCCGTGAACGGTTCAAAGATCTCTCTAAAGTCCAGTGCCAACTGTTTAACTAGGCTGCCAACACCTGGTCTTGAGAAAATCATTGTATGTGGGGTCTTTGTATATAACTTTTCTTGTAAGGCAAGCGATGCAGCACGAGCCTTCCTCACTGACTTTGGGCGCTTTTTGTGTACCATTCTTGATTTATGTTTGCTAAAATTACAAAATAGTGAACATACAAAAATTTTGATAGAGCAAACGAAGCATATATTTCAAACTTCACATGTATAAAACGATGCATAAAATACCAGTACTCGATAAAACTAGCATACGTCAAAGTCTAGCTACATATAACCACAGAGAAAGAAAATTTCAGTGCTGTGTAGGAAGTACAATTTAACCAATTCACCAAACCACAGTAATAAATATGTAGGCAACTAGTAACAAAAAAGCGACAACTGAAATCTAAAACCTATTGTGTACATCTAGACAATCTAGTATACAACAAAAGTCATCGATTATTTCACAATGTAGCACGAGACTGTTGTGTAACTGATTGAAAATCGAAAATTCAGACATAAATCATATATTAGGGATGAAAACTCTCCCACAGTGTGCATCATAATAATACATCAAAATCAGACAGTTACACGGCACACTTATTATTTGCATCTAAGGGTGAAAATGAATTGTTTAGTATTCTCCAAGCTTCGATATACAGTTGAATAGTTTTTCGTGGTGTACAATGTATAATGTATCTTACTTAGAGTTTGTACTTATTATTATTATTATCATTATTGTTATTATTATTTAACAACCAAATAATGTACAAATGACTATCTAGACATTGTGACAGAACGCGTACAAGACAGTGAAATCCTATTGTGTTCTCAACAAGTGATATTTACTAAAAGTTAGTCATCCGTTAGCCTGAAATACTTCTGTGGGTCAGAGAAATAGTTCTGCATACATTTACGCATCACTTAATAAAATTTATAAGGAGAAATCAGCTCCTTCAGATATGTACACTTCATTGACAAGTACAAAACATCTAGGTGTGAGGCATTCTGGCAACTGCCTCTAATCACCTAATATTAATTATGACTCTGTGTTAGGCGGCAAGATATCTGGATTTAATGATCATGAAAAAAGTTGTTGTTAAATATCACATTAACCCATATATAGTTGTAACTACTAACCTTGTTCACCTGAGAGTTTATACATTCTAACGCTAAATCTACTAACCAACTGATTGGTTATTTACAAAATTATTTTTCACATCATTCAAATGAAAAAGAAAAATTTATATTATATAATTTCTTATTCAGTTAACAATATGAACACTAACACACACACACACACTGCTATTAAGGCACATGTGGTAGTGTGTGAGAAAACAAAGTCAAAAGAAGAACTGAGAAGTATGTTCCAAGGAGAATGAAACAATAACTAAATAGGAAAATTAATAATATGACCCGCCAAGGGACATATCTCTTGAATAATGCTTTCCACACATACACACATGTGCGCACACGGACAGACAGACAAACAGAGGTAACCAAATCATATCAAGGAGTGTACAAAAAGTAGTAGTAGTAGTAGTAGTAGTAGTAGTAGTAGTGATAAAAGCCCAAACACGGAAGAAGAGATCCATGGGGAAATAAAGAAACCACGCAGGAAATTCAAATAACTAATGAAATATATATTAGATGAATTCTGAAGCAGAAAGACTGAACGGTGGGTTCATTTTTGATGAAACGCCTCATTGTTTAGCAGAATGAGCTCCTTCAACGTGGGTTGGCAAGTCGTCTCGTAAACAAACCTGACCAAAAAACAGGAAACTATTATGAGCAGTGTAAAACGAACAGACAGAAAAAGTCTTCTGAAATAATAATAACAATAACAAAAATAATGGCAAAAATGAAGTAAGAGATGGAACCACCATATTACCTATGATTTGTAGAATTATTTCAAATAGACTTCTTAATGATTACTGTGTCACCGTATCACTGGGTTCAACAAATGAAAAGACTAGCGATTTTTGTACAGAGGTGGTGATTAAATCTCTCGTGTTGGCTAGTGTAATATGGTCAGTGATAATAAGGTTAGACAGAATATGTTAGGTAAGAAGGAAATGTCGTAAAGTTACATCGATTTATATGTAGTTTGCGCATAACGACCAACAGTCTCTCTGGGTGATCAATGCTACACGAAACACAATTAAATTACAAAGGGGTTAGGGAAGATCAGAAGAAAACCTGGTACTAATCTATGAAGCCTCTGACTGTTGGTTTCAGTCGTATTCAAAAGTTTTGAATGATTTGGTGGCATCCTCAGGCTGGTAAGAATCAACTGTTTGGGGTTACCGGTGGTCATTTACAACGACTTAGATGCATTTGTCCCTTCATACTATACAAATCCTAAAATATCTTTGTTAATTTTCACCTAGATATTCTCTCATATGTTTTTTTATCTATTTCAGTTCCATAATGTAACGAAAGTTTTGCGGGCTTATGGAAACGTAAGGATGATTATTATTACACTATGGAATTTGGTTTAGTCTTGTTGTGCCTAAAACACAAGGAAAATTACTGTAGCATGACAGGAGAACCCATAGGGCTACTGGTTGAGATTGGTTGTACGCAGTGTGCTTGAAGTTAGTTTTTGAACTGTCGTCTGTATTAAGATCTTACTACCAGGTACGAAAAGCAGAAAGGTAAGACAGAGCAAACAATTTACGGGATCGCCTCTTTCTTCAGAGCAGCAGAGGCAACATAGCTGGCATGCTGGTTTTCTGGGGGAAACAGACTACTTGTGTTACTTCCCTATTTGGCATCAGTACGACTTCGTACGCAGACCCTTCCCTCCAACATAGTGTGAACGAATCGCAGCATGATTTTAACTGCTTTTAGTCTAACCGCTATCCAAATGGTTTTTTTAGTATGGTGGGAACCACGGGAAGACTGTTGCTCGTTGGGTCATTGCGATATAAAAGCCCAACCACTACACTAGGATTGCAACTATTAGGATAGCAGTCCTCCAAAGTGTGACAACTTGAGATGATGCATTTTGTGCAGCGGCCGAAGTTAATAAGTCAGACAGACAAAGTGTTCAGCTTATTTAAAGATAAAACGTATATTTTATTGGTATTTCAGTGAATATCTGAACTATAAGCCAAAGAATCCAATTTGTTGATAACTTGATCTTTCCAGAAAAGAGGAAGTGCTATATTACACTTACATATATTGCTTTCCTGGGAGATTATTTTTCACTTCTTTTATCATCTTATCCTAGATGAATGATTGGACTTTTTGTAGTGAATGTCTGTGATGTTTCGGAAAACACCTTAAATTACAGATTGCCTTTCGATGATGAACTTGAAGATTAGTACATATATACATTTGTGCAAACTATCAGGAATTTTGCAAACTTTAGAATTATACACACACATACATACTTACATGCATACTACAGCTTAAATGGAGTGTAGTGATAAGTAAACTTTAAATGATTCCCACTGTCCCCGAAACACTTGACGAGTGTAGTGGACACGTTAACTTTTTGTCCCACTTTGGTACATTGGTTACAAAAAGTAGCTAGTTACTTATAGTGATTTTTATCATCAGCTGTATGTAAGTTACACTTTTCTAACATAAACCATTCATATATGTAACAATAAAGTTGCTATATGTATACAAATTGAGCAACTAGCATAATCTCATTTTAAAAAATCACTTCAGAAAAACTTTAACTAGAACAAAACTTGAATTTTAAAACCCACCTGACCGCATTCCTGACATGCTTGTAGTCTTTTCAAGACCTTTTTAGCCCAAGAAGGTGGAGTGAATATAGGAGTCTTGTTACGCTTAACATGCATACCACACTTTACTAAAGCCTCTTGCATATCAACTGGGATACGTGGTGAACCTTGTGCTTGGAGAGCACGAAGTAACGCACGTTGAAGACCTATATCTGGCAATAAAGAAATCATTGGAGCTATCCAGAATGGAACATCTGAAACACGATAGAAAATGACGTTGTTCAATTTGTGATTAATAATAAGTTTATGAAATCTGTGCATAGATAATAACATGAAATAAATGGCCATATTCACTTGTCTATGACAGTAAGTTTGAGTAATGCAGGTAAAAGTGGATTACCTGTTTGAGTTATCCTAGATGCTAAGATTAAAAATTTAGAACTCATGGCTCAAAACTGGCTACTCTTTATCACGGAACTTTCAAACGGTTTTATTCGTCTTCATTTTACTCTTATCGTACACAATCACGCTTTTCATTACAATGTGGCAATTTAAATATCTATACAAAATCTGTCGTACTCTTCTAGTTCGTAAATTTGTAACGACAAAAGACAAGAGTATTGGTAAGAGAATGTTTATTTGGAATTTGCTATCTCTATACAGCGAAATTATCTGATCGTCAAATCAACATATGCACAGATCTTCAGTGTTGTGCTACTTCTGGTCTCCATATTGTGTTTCTTTCATGTCTCCAATGTATCTCCGAAACGCTGTATCATTGGCTTTCTCTGAGATCACATTTACCTCCCTGCTCTTCGATGTTTTTATGTCAACAAACATCTCTTTTTATGTATATATACTACTGATAAATCTTATCAGTAGCACATGCCACAAATTCATATTGTGGGTGAATACAAAGTTAGCCAGATATACAAGCAGTTTCGAAAACAACCAATGTTGATCATGAAACACATTCACAGTATGTATTATGAGAGCAGCTCACATTGACCTTGTTGAGGGGACTTCATCCAATGGTACATGTTTCCGAATTTCACAAAATTTACTGCATATGATTAGTGCAAAGGTTAACGAAGTGGTAAATGTAAAAGAATTACAAACAGGTAACCAAAATATTGCTTGAACTGAGACATATTCGATAGTGAAAAGAAGTCTACTCACTGCCCGTCGAGGTGATTTTAATAGGTTGACTTTTCACTTTCACTGTAAAATCTTCCGTTCAGTAAATACACTATGTATAACACAAAAATCCCGAGAACAATGAACACAAGATTTTAATGACTGAAATTGACCTTAGTGACTTTAAGCGAACAGACAAAACAGTAATTGCAGCATGCTACATATATTTTCTTTCTTAGTGAATATAAGATATGTAACCGTTTGAGTTAAGGTGTGCTCATTTTGTCAGTTTGTTGACAACCTGATGTTAGGTACTCTTACTACACACTTTATCTGAGCTGCAACAACTCTACTTTCATCTTCAGGAAAACCTCATATTAACAAAATTGCACTTCGCAAAAGTCTGTAACAAACTAAGGACATTCCTAAATAAAAATACTACAAAAGCAATGGATAAACCAGCTCACTTTCGTCTTTATCACCATCATTTGTGTTAGCGTTTCCAACGCCCAAAAGACCAACTAAACCTTCCAAGTATGCTGTTGCATTTATCTCTTTGTAACGATAGCGACGTGATAGATCAGCAAATCGGCTAAACGCGGTTCGACCACTTTTATCAAACAAATCCGTTTCCACTGTTCGAATTAACTCAAGATTGCGTGACTCAACATCAGGTGGCGGGAAATATTCGGCCTTGAATACATAAAAATAGAAAATGCACACAAGGGGTTACAAATAAATAACTGTTGAGTGAATGGAATGCATTTGGCAAAATTTTGTCCATACAATATTGTTTATCAGTACACTATATTCACAGAAAATAAAACTGTTCGAAAATGACTGTCTGTTATGCTATGAGGTAGTTTTAGTATAAATAGATAATAATATGCGAGGGTAGTGCTTAAAGTTTGAAAAAAACCTCAAACGCGATGCAGCTCAACAAAAACAGCCTATGATCACATTTCTAATCCGGTGTCGACTGAGGCAAGAAAGCCGTCTACTGAAAACATTTCAATCCTATCTCAAACGATGATGAGCAACTACTTTACTACTCGCCTACCTACGCCTTCTAACCCTAATGAAAAATGAGTTGAATGGAAGAAAGAAAACGGTAGCGGATTTGTCCACCTTCTTGGTAATTATAAGCACTGGATACCTTCACCTTTTCAGTACAGATCATAGGTAGTATTTAATTCAATTTTAGATTTTCCCGTCGATGCGCATCCTGCATTCAACCGCTAGTCACCATCCACCAATTAACTTCTAATTACTAGCATAGGCAGCATTGTAGTTTACTTGTCCAAGTGATCGTCCACTCATTACTAATCGATAATAATTTCAAACCTCACTTTACTCATCGAGTTAGTATTATTAGGCTTTCGGAAATGAATAGGAATCGGGGTGTGTAAAAAATATCGAAAATTTGGTATGATGTTCTATATCAACTACAGAATACAACACTATAATATAATTGTAAATGAAAGGAGCAAAGGGTTATAAAAATTAATTAGGTATTCGATTATACATAGTTCGACTTACTTTGGCATATAGTAAACACTCTATGTCCATAGAGTCATTAAACTGAACAGACTTTATCAGTTGAATTAGCATACTAATTTCTGGTTTAATATTGTTATTTACACGAGCAGGCGGACAGTTTTCCTCGGAGTGGTTGGGTGATTTGTGATTGATTTTCTCTTTCGACTTTCCCTTTCGTGATATGTTTTGTTTTTGTAGCTTGTTCATCTCTTCATTAGCTCTGACAGATAAGGATGGAAAATCATTTACAGGTGATGGAAGCTCATAATTAGAGTGAAGCGACCGATTAGAATCAGGAGCAACATCAACGGTTCGTATATGGGTGAACTGAGGTCGTTCCATATACTAAGGAAGAATTTAAATATAGTGAATTAATTTCAGTCAACTAATATTATCATACTTTAAAATGAAAACTAACAGCAGTGATTACTTCAATTGCTTTAGAATTTATACTACCCAATCCCTTAAAAAAAATAAATACTTGCTTTGATAGCTTCAGTTGTTTCGAGTGCCGAAGAGATAACCAACTGATAACCACAAGGCAGCGAACATACACAGACGTTTAGTCTATGCTACTGTACAGCTGGAAAATAACCTTCGTGACTGAAAGATATCCTTAGAGAATAACTCACGTATGACAGAACCACACAGTAATTCGAATTGAAGCTATGTCTATGGAAGTCGTGAGTGTTACTCTATACTAAACCGGTGGAGAAAGACTTCTGAAGAAAAGTTATTTCAGCATTCGTTTGATGGAACTATATCCAGTGAAGATAAGGGATTAATCAGGACTCGGAAAAACCAGAGATGTGTGCTATGTACTACATGTAATATAAGTTATTTGTTACTTTAGGCCTGAGGGAATGAATTATTTCTTATGACTCAATCACTTACAGATTCAAAGATGTTTTGTGTTTTCAAAATTTTCTCTTTCACCAACTTTTTTGCTTCTTTCCCTATAATATATGTAGTCTGTCTGACATGAACAGCTGAGTTGAAATAGATCTCTTTAGTTCAACCACCACTTTTTGATTTTGACAGAGTGAAATTGTGGAGAGTTATTCAGTTATACAACTATCTAAACTGCATTCGTTTCACTGAGTTTTATAGAGAGAAAAAGTTGCGTAATATGCAATACGCAAGATGGTCACCAGGATAGGGGGAATTTCATACAAATTTGAACAAAATTCTGGGAATATGACTATAAATAGCTACTGCTAGGTGATGAAGAGTGTGACTTATTGACTTAAGCACTCAACTTCCAGCTCCACCTACTGCAATCCACACAACTGATTAGTATCACCAGACCTCACACAACATTTGTAGCTTTATAGCCGGATACATGAGAAATCTCTTCCGACCTACGTAATTATAACTATGAATGAGTTTTCATTAAACCTTTAGCAGAAATTTATTAATCTATAACACAACCTTTCGCTAAACATCTACCGCAAAAATACTGACCAAGCAATGTATACAATATGTAAATTCCCAAAGTTATGATAAATCTTCAAAATACAATAACACCCCGACAACTAACAATATTACTATCATCTCTTGATGTCATTCCAATAGCATCATCCGGTTCATTATTTCTTGTCCTTGTATTTTTCTTAGCTTCAGATTTCTTTGAGGTGTGCAATTCAGCTTTTGTTACAGCTTGTTTCTTTGTATCATTCAACGGTGTTTTTGAAGTCTTCGTTTTATTTTCCAAAACTGATGATTTATGCGTCATAACATTTATGGTAGTTTTCGGATGATTGGAATTATTAACTGGAAGAGCAGGAAAATCACATGATGTTGGAGTTTGAAATGATGGTGTTGACAACTTCAGTGGTTCTTCAGATAAGGAATTATCTTTTCTTGGCCATGATGACGATGGAATGTTGGCTAAAAGTTTTAAACAATATCAGGATGTTACAATGAAAAACGTAGAATATGTAGATTTCACACAGAATACCCCTTTTATTCTTAATAATGATTTTTCTTTATAAATTGAGACTTTCAGCATTCTCACATTAGAAGACGTTCCTACCTTCCCAAATAAAATTTACAAAAACAAACAAACGATCACAAAATCTACAGTTCCTGCAAACTAATACTTAAGGGATAGTCACTTAATTCAAGTGACTATACGCTTTACTGCTCAGGCACTATACACCATATTTTCTCTCGAATCTATTGGAAATGTGTAAAGCGGCTAAATGGAACGATTTTAAAAATGTGTGAAAGTGAGAATAGTACTATTTCTGAACATCTTTGAATGATTAAAACAGGATGAAAGGAATATTTTGATAACTCGAAGCTTAAACAAGCTGCATGTTATAAAGCAAGTTGCATTGCTGAGAATTAGAACAGCATATAAACTAGATTGGTCAATTATTAATATAATACAAACTTTAGTTGAGCAAGGAAAGTACAAATACCACAATATTAAAGGGACCACTGAATCGGGTCCCAGTGGCTGAATGGTATACGAGCTTGCCTCGTAACTGGAAGGTCCTGGGTTCAAACCGCCTGTGGTGGGTGCGTACTGCTGATGATTCCTAACCTAGGATGAAGCAGGTGTCCAGTACTCCCTGGATTTCAATGGTTCTCTAACTGATATCAATCTGGGGTCAAACTCGTATAAATATTAAAGGATTAATAAAAATACAAAGTACTAGCATTGTACTTTTATTGACTGAATTGGCTTACTTTCTACCACCAATCACGTAAAGTTCGAAATGCGATTAGGGATTAGGAGTTAGTGACATTAAAGGAACAAGAACTATGCTCATCTAATCGACAAATGAAACGTTTTCCACCACTCATATTATAAAAAACAAGTATATACACTGTCCCCTATCCATCAAATTATCCCGATGTTTTATATTTCATTCACGGAAAATACCGATCCGGAAATGACCATAAGGAGAAAAAGTTTAGCGAAGAGTCTCTTTTCGGCGAATTCATTCACTTAGCTATACAGTCGCATTTATATGTAATTCTTTCATGTGTGTGCGTACGTAAGGTTTGTCAAACAAAAACAAAAATTAATTAGGGTTATTGTTTACGTCATCAAAATGTTTCAGAAATGTGATGAATAACAAAATTGCAACTAGGGCGGTGAAGATTGGTAAGTATTGGCAAGGGTTGAGCAATATGAAAGACACCCAGAAAAATAGAACGTTAGTGAAAAAGCATGGATATAAGTGTCCAAAATAAATTACATTATAGGCAGATAGAGTAAATAGAGGATTACTTAAGAAAAAGATGTTACTAAGAAGTCATACAAAAATTCAAAAAAGGCATTATTAACAAAGTAGTTGAACTTGGAATTATACCCAAGGTAGAAGGAGGGTGGAGAAGTTTCTTTTGTGTACATAAATCAGGGTTTTCTATCCGGATTGCTAAGACCTCGGCAAAGTATATGGGAGCTTACCGTTTTTGGGGGGCTTTCTTTTGACTTTGTAGATGACTTTGAATGAATTCTCTTTACATACTGAGTGACTAGAGTTGAATATATGTTCAATCACAGCACTCCTTATTGATCCTCTGTTACCTTTCGTAGCCAAGCGGGATAGGGTTCTTTCACTCTTTCAGATAAATCACGCATCGAATGACCCAAATATCTCGCTCCTCATGAGCAAGTAAATTGGTAGATACACACAGAAGTGATCGAATGCTATAGTTAATCTTTGGAGTTGTTGAAGAACAATGGACGGCTTCAGAATAACAATTCTAATGTAACAGCAGAGAATTTCTTTTCAGGGAGTTAGATTTCTCATTTTTAGAATCTCACTCTTAGAATGTCACCTTTGAACGCCACATTTATGTATAGCATCTTCTTCGGCACAGAAATGGGTTGTAAGTTGTGGTTTTCGGCTTATGTGTTCATCTATAAAGCGTGGTGGATAGACGTTCTCAAGTATTGTCTTCGGACTGCGGATTTACGATTCTATCACAGTAAATATCAGGTTCTGCTTGCGATTTCATACTGAAAGTTAACAATTAACTTTTTTAAAATTGGCCAAAAAAAATTAATTTTTTTTTCCAATAACAAAAATTAAAACTTTTTGGAAAAATCTTTGGCACACAAAATTTATAAAAATTTAAATAACTTTTAATAATATAATTATCCTAAAAACGAAAACTAAAAAAAAATTAAGAAAAGGAAAAAGGCAAACAAAAAAAAAACCGCAAAAAAAATTTTTAAAATCAATTGGACTCAACTCATTCAATGATGTGTCTTGATAATGAACAAACACCTACCTTAATTACTGATGTACTTTCACCTAATTCTGAATAAGCATTGTCAAAATCTTTAATTAAAGCAATTTTCTATTTTTAACTGGTGAACTATAGATATCTACTTATGTGAACAATTCATTAAAAAAAATTAAAATATAAACAGGAGACACCAACCAGAGTTATGTGTAGATGATGCAAGAGTTGGGAAACCAGATACGTTGACAGGGATAATTGATGTAACTTGCGGATTATGCGGTATTTGAGATGTATTATTTTTATTCACCCATGTAAGAGGATTACCTTAGTAAATATTTAAAACAAATAAATTAAAACGCAGAAAATATAGACGTATTTCGTAGAACATCCAACAAATACTTGTATTTTCGTGTACTTAGCAATAAACATGAGTTAACGATACTAGCTTACTAATAAAGCATTGATAAGTGGACACAGGCGTTGGAAACCGTGACCTAGTGACTGGAAGTTGAGAGTTTAGACCAGTGAACCGCGCCTACACTACATGTCAGTCGAAATCAGAATTAAAACCGACTGTTTTTTTGTCGACACAAAAGAAATTCATGTCAAGCAGAATATGAACCTATAGAGTAAACTGTACCGGAAACGTTATCCAATTACTAAAACTCTGTCACATCAAATAACCTTATCGAATATGAAATTATATTCTATTAGAGTAGTAAACACTGATAACTTCGCGCATACAAAAGGAAACGGGGTAACAAGGCCTACTGAAATCTTGTTAAGTAGTTGAATAAAAAAATTGTTTGTAAACACCTAACACTTGATATATGGATCACTGAGATTAACTAGTGTGAACAGCTGGTCAGCATTTCAAACCATTAATGGTTTTACAGCATCGCATCAATTTACGACAATTCTTTGTAATCAGGACATCTTTCAACTAACATGCGTTTCTCTTACCATACAGGAGTTGAAATCTTCAACAAATCCTCATATTACTACCCCGCTAGTCAACGTATGATTTCAATGGAAATCCAAACTTGTTAAACTAGATACTTTGAAACCATGATCTAACATTATCCATTATCATAAATAAAAAGTAATATTACTTCATAATCAAACATGAAATTTGTAGGAGTAAGGTAAAATTATCTTCGATGAATACTAGTAAATTCACAGTTGGCTACAATACTTCAATGCTAAAAGTAGAAACTAGCTGGTCTCCTGACGAGCTGATAGGATATGTACATTTCTCATCAGTACATAATTTCTACCAATGCGTAGGTGGCACAGCGGTAGAATGCTCGCCAACTGCGCATGTGGTTCGGGGTTCGAGTCCCGGCCAACACAATCCTTTACCTCGCTAAGCCAGTAATAAGACTGGTAAAGAGGGGAGATTGGGCATGAGACTAGCAACTCGATCCGTAAAAATAAACACCACTGCTACCGAAACTCCAAGTGTCTAGCTTGAAGCACTATGTTCCATTAGGAACGTAAGGAAATAAAAAAATTATATAAATTATTTGTAAAAGTTTCGGAATGACACTAAGCAATGAAACCATTTGATTATTATTATTTCTCTATTATTTCAAAACCATTTGATTTTTAAGCAAATTGGTATTGAGTCCAGCTATGTCTAATGATCAGCTAGCCGCATAACGTCTGATGGTGACATTTACGAATATGTATACAACCACTAAGTCATTTTTATTTTCATAAACAGTTATCGAAAAACATTTTCATTAAGATATGAGCAAGACATTTTCGTTAAAAACAAATTCTAAAAATGACATACTTTTATTACTAGTAGAAGACTGTGGTGATTGAGTAAGACTTGGAAAATCCTCTGAAGTGAGGCGATTCTTATTAGTAAGATTGACACTAGCAACACGAGAAAGCCAACTTGTACCTCCTACCGATCGATTATTTTGCATACTACTAGTATCATTCCCCTCTCGTTCTGTTAATGAAGCAGCTGACTCTCTAAGTCTTTGTACAGTACTTTGAGGACTTCCTGACTCATTCGTCGCAGCTTGAGAGTTAGAGACTACTGGTCTGGTAGATTGTAATGAGGGGAAATCTTCACCTGTCCATTCTGAAGGATTAGGCCGCCGATAGGATATATTGGAATTGTCTTGTGAAATTAATCTGCCATCAGTTGCGTCTGAAGTTACACAAATGAAAAAACACTTTTCCGTTATATATTGCCATCATTATTGCTAGCAGTTTCCTTAATAGTACTTTAATGACGAGCACAAACTACTGCACACAAGTTTCGGACTTATTATAGCGGCTTAAAATACAAAATATCAACATGCCAAGATGAATACATGAACAATCGATGATATCCAGTTGGTTCTAAGGCCAGAAGTAACTCAGTTAATCTTCAAAACCACCATGTAACTTTGAGTAGTGCATGCTTCAGGTGAATTCCAAACATTTGAAAAGACAGTAAATTTATCATTTTTCGTACAATCATCCGTTGAAGACACGAAAAGGTTGACTGCTTTTGATCATAGATGTCTACGATCTCTTTCTCACGTTAGGTGGCATAATAAGGTAAGTAATGTTGACGTTAGGCGTAGAGTGTTGGGCAAACAGGGAAAATCAATCGACGAGGCTATAAAGTTACATAGATTGAGATGGCTAGGTCACGTGTTGAGCATGTCTAGCCATCGCCTCCCCCGATGGGCACTACTAGCTGATATAGGTGCAGGTTGGAAAAGAGTAAGTGGTGGCCAAACAAAAACATGGCATCAATCCATGAAATCCTTGACAGTTAAACTGAGTCAGGTAGGGAGATGCAGACTTCCGCGTTGGGGCCCTCGGGACTCTAAGAATCAATGGCTGGAGACAATAGGTGACATGGCTCAAAATCGTTGTCAATGGCGCAGATGTATTCAGTCTCTGTAATCTTTCATATACCTTTATACCATTACTCATTCTGCATCACTTCTACTTCTCAACACTCTATTGATTCTCTTCACTCATCTTCTTGTCTACCTTTGTGCGCTATTTGGAACGTGGCAACTCCAACTGCTGCACTTCGATCCCAAGATCTATGTTGAACCCAGAGAGACAGACCGTTTCGCCAGTTGCCTATAGACTGTTAAATACATCTGAAGAGTGATCGAAGGTTCATAGTGTTACCTATATGAGTATACCTGAGTATAAAGAGTTGTAAACCTCCATTATGGCTAAAGAAAATTTGACAAAATCACAGTGTTGTACAGTAATATTTACTGATGACGTTTCGAGCACAATTCATTGCTGCTCATAATCATATCAAGGTACTCGCATAACTTTCTTGCTTCATTTATATGAGTAAAAATTGATAAGACATTTGAATAAAATCAACAATCAATCATCAGTAAATATTACTGTGCAACACTGTGTGATTTTATCACACTATTTTATCCAGAATGAAGTTATACTCTAATACAATGCCCAAGTTTTATCCTTATATCAATCGTTTTAAACCTGACTGATTGACTGGTTTCGACATTAAACTCAGCACAAAAGTGAAGCAGTTCAAGTTGCAACAATACATGTAGCACACAAAGGAAGACAAAAGAGAAAACAAGATATTCGAAAGAACGATAATAAACACAAATGTGAGGGATACGGAATAGTAATATAGAAAAACAAGAGGGTTTCAGTGGATATGGCAGATCACAAAGAGTGAATGCATCTGCGCCAGTCATTGAGAACGATTTTCCAGCCACCACCTTACCAACTGTCTCCAGCCATTGGTTGTCCTTAGAATCCCGATGACCCCAACAAAGCAGTCTATATCTACCTATATGGTCCAAACTAACCGTTATGCACTTCATCGACTGATGTCATCTTTTGCTTTGACCAAGACCGGCTCTTTTCCAACCTCACCCCATATCACCTTAGATTGCTCGTCAAGGAAGGCCAACGATGGCTTATCGCTGTATGGTCTATTCTAGTCCATCGATGTTTTCATGAGGGAGGTCACCATGCAACAACCCTCTTTGTGTTCCATGTTAGTGCTGACAAGGAAAAGGTGATTATCCAAACAGAACTGTAGAAGACGATCCCCTTAATCGGTCCATCGGCAGTAGGTGCCGTAAGTACCACCAACATACTTCTGAGACTGAAACAACTTCTCAACTTCTGCATCGAAATCGTCGGCTAAAACAATCATATCCGCGCGTTCTGCTTTACGTAACAAACTAGACAGTTTTTGGCAGAACTCATCCTTTACTTCGACCTAAAAATAATCAGTTGGGGGCGTAAACGGAGATTTCGAAAAGACGTCGACGGGTAACGCAGTCTTTCCTTCTTCTTCTAACGGGTCCGTTCAGACGGATGGCGCATATACAACTATCTACTGGGATCCAATCGAGTAGGAATTTTTCCGGCCAAGCACTCAATGCAATATCTACACCCACAACTCCTCACCAACTAGCCGAAGAATCTCCTGACACCCGTAAGGTGAATTTTGTAGATTCACACAGTTGACCACGTGGGGTTAAGTGAATGACTACAATCGGATATTGTATCTGTCTCCGAAACCCAAAATACATCCAAGGCTAGATATCCCAGAGTTCTGACCAGTGATGCCTGTTGTCCGATCTGAAAAGGCGTCCTGACGTTGTATGCCCCAACATGAAGTTCGCATTGTGGCTTTAAGAAACTATCGGGAATGGTTTCCGGCTCTCGTCACTATTAGTGGTCACACAGTTAAGAAAAGATGGGGAACTAGTCTGTAGGACAGTAATAACAGTAGGAGGAAAGCAAGATGACGGTAACGTAGATAAAGGTAGGCGATGATCACGAAGGTTTCTCGAAGTGTGTGGGCGGTTGTTATTTCCCGACTGCTCATACCATACCCTTGGGGTGCCTGAAATAGAAAGAGAATTAGTGCTGCGTGACCGCACAGACCACAGGACAACTGCTTAAGGCAGGTCAAACACGGCCGTATTTACAACTTACCGATGGACACAGACCACTGTAGGGTAAGTCCGGGTGTACAATTTTCGGAGTCGATTTGTTTTTAATCCCCACTCTACGGAGTGGAGAGGTAGGACAGGTCGCATGCTGGTCATCTGGGGGAAACACCTTACTTTCTGTTCCCCAGCATAGTGTAAACATCTTACACTATACTACTAACTGCTTTTGATCTAGTCGCTATCCTAACAACCTTTCTGGCATGATAGGACATGCGGGAACCTTAGTTCCAGGCAGTATAGCTTATCGGGTCATTGTGATAAACAAGTCCGACCATCAACGCCAAGATAGCAGATATCGGTCGAGGTATTCAACCGAAAACAATAGTAAGTTCCTGTGAGCACCGAAATGCGGGCAACCGAAACTAATAATAACAACATAGGGAATGGGATACAACGCATTGGGAGATCCAGTCATGCTTATCTATTTCTTTTAACGAAAAATTTATTGTTATTACTTTTGTGACTAGAAGTACACAAAGATTGCAATATTTCAGCTATTTATTTCGATTCTGACTAAGATTTGATAACAACCTGAGTAACTAACCTTTATGGTTCTTTAGATTTATTCAAGAGTCGAAACGCGTGAACAGATTTCAACGCAACGCAACTATCTTTCACCCTATGGCGCCATGCTATTCACTGACAATCGCTCTGCATTCTCCAACCAGCCCTACAAATGATGAATAGTTGTCGCTGGAGTCCCATTCGCAGTACATGTCTAAGGTACTTGCCCTAGTGTCCCATAATGACATCACCGATTAAAAGTTCATCTTTGTTCTGTTCAAACACGTGCCATAGGATCTAAAAATAATCGGTATGCTATCGCCACTGGATGCAAACAATTCCAAAGACAGAAACTAAAAGATACGCACGCACACATCCTCAGCTTGAAGATGCCAAGTTTAGCAGAGGTGGGTGGCAACTGTAGATACTCAAGCATTGTTGTTCTGACCTTTGGAGACCTGAATAATATCACAATGCAAAAAGTGGTTCAGATTAATGCATACAGATCTGACCTTCCCAACATGATTGTAAATTTCATCTATCACACCACAGCCCGTACCACCTAAACAAACTTTTTAACTCTTCATCTGAAAGGGTGAATGTGATTACAAAATCCTCCCAATGTTGAAAATGCACTGTGCACAGAGATGAGACACAACAGTTACATGCACTATCCACCAACCTATTAAGAAGAGTAAGCACGTGTATTTAGTGTGACAAATACAGGGGTTAAATTTGGAACTGTCCTCTTTTGTATTCATTAGGAAACGAATTTCAGAACACGAAGTATAGCCAACTAAATTACTACCACTAAATTTAAGCTTCTTTTACTAGTTAAAGATACTTACTTTGACGCTGAGAGATGAATAAACAGCACGCACGGGTAAAGCTCATAAAATAAAGTGGATGGATCTACCAATCGTTAAAAATCAATATTTCAATAAAGCCACAAAATAGATGCAACTTAGTACCGACACACTGGATCTAATTCAAAACAGCATACAAGTGTACACTGTCAGACATCATCATGTATTCAGAATAAAGAGCTGATTTGTATATCCTAAACTTAGGTGCAATGACAGAAATGCCTTGATTTCTGTTACACAAAAATATACAAATCAACTGTATTTTCAAACCAATAGCGTAGCCACCTTACTTGCTTTTTGGTGGCTTGAAGTGGAGCCTAGTACAAGCTTTCCATCTAGTTTGCAACTAGCCATTTAGGCTTCCCCACATCCCAATGAGCGACAATCGTCCAGTGGTCTCGTAGCTTAATGGGTGAGCAGTTACTGCCGACTTTCAGTCTAAATGAGGATAGTGGGATGAAGATGCATCAAGCCGACTTTAAAAAGGACAGAACGGAAAATATGGATACCACTTCTAAAAAGCACTAAACAAATATAGTCGTGTTAATTCAAAGCGAAATTAGACAGCCTACATGTCAAAATGCGAATGACCAAGTCTGTTCACAAAAACCAACCAAACCCCAAGTGAGAATTCAAATAATTATCCCTCACACTAAAACACCTAAATTACTTCCTGTCATTCTCATAAAAAGAGATACATACCAAGAACACCATCCACACTATTCACATCTGGATGCATCTGGTCTCGTCTTCTGAAGGCAGAATCAGCTGTCGTTACGTGTCTTATGGATATCGGAAGCCAAGGGTTCGGGTCGTTAGCCACTTCATTCGGATGCTCTTGAAAACGATGCAAACCCAAACGGTCTGCAGTTGCGAAACAGGAAATCCGTTGCTGAGCCCGACATTCAGTACACAGATGATGCGAATCACCATAATGATCCAATAATTCACACTGTTCTCTAAAAACAGTAGTAAGAGAATCATAAATGCATGAAGAACAACAAAATGTTAAGCATTAAAATAGTATATGTAACTCTTTCTGTCCAGCAAATTACAAACACATACATGAGGAAGCATGTAGGACGACATATATATTTTAAAAACTATATTGGGATACAATGAAGACTTGTAGTAAAAATTCTATAACAAATGTATGAAACAGAACTATTTCAACCACAACATATTTCAACAAATGGTATTATAATTTACAGCTCATTACATTAACACCACATCACATGAATGATCTGGATTGCATTTCATCATGACAACTGTACAAATAAGATATTCGTGTGACTTCAGTATCTAATCACGACTACTTCAAGAGATTACTATCAGTATGGCAACCAAATCCCATGATATGGATGAAACGGGTTTGTTAACAACAAAACCCCTCAAAAAGGTGGATACAATGATTCGAAGTGCTGAATAATTGGCCAACTATAGTTAGCACTACAATAACGAGCTGTCTCTACTCTAACAGACAGAAAACGCTTTCAAAAGGAAGCGACACGCTTTATTATGTATAGATGTGAGTTCTAATTATGACAACCAACCAATAAATGTTAGCGAGAAATGTCAATTAAAAGATCAGTGACACTAAGTTTACGATAGCACCTGCATGCGATTCTGCCACATATTCTCCAAAAAAGTGACCAAATTGGCACTTTTTATGCTGACACGAAGCACACCTTTAATCGGTTGCGACTAAAGGTCAATAACTTCATGTAACTATCTCCTTCGTCCTAGCCGTTTATGCATAAATCACCATGATAACACACTCAACACATGTTCATATAAACCTAACATGCGTGTCTCCATAAACTGACTGGCTGAATTACTCTTATTCGGAGCTTCATGCTCAATTCGGTCGTTAGTCATAACTATAAAAAGCATATCAAGCTGTAGTGACCAATGAGCAAAAACAAATACGTGCATATTTACAAGATCTAGAATTTAATCAATTACCTGAAGACCACAAACTTTCCTGTAGCCATGCAAAGGTCGCACAGGAAATGCAGATCGCGTATGTGATGTATCAAGTCTTCCATCTCATAAAAACGCTCCTGACAGAAATCACACAACGGATGGCCTTTTTTCTTAGTTTTGTCCCATGATCTGTGCTTTATAAGATCAGCTGGTTTCATCAGGGTGAATTCACATGGCAAAAGCTAAATCAGTTAGTGAATAACATGTGAAAATACCCTGGCGTATCGGATACACAGATCACAGTAGGAGAGATGGTGCTCTGCTGTCGTGTGCCTGTTTAATGCTGAAAGAGACTTCTTTTCCTCGCCACATATTGGGCAAACTGATTTGAGCATGTTTGAATAGTAATGCTCAATATCCACATCAGGGAACATAAAATCAAATCTGGAATCATGCCGGAGCACAGAAACATCTATTCTATCAAATGGGACGAATCTCCTCATGATGACTACCTGTCAGATGATCAGGAATAAGGTCTTCCATCACTTACCCTGTTGATATTTTGTCTGCAAGTGGGGCACTTAGAAAACTCCGGCTCGTCTGCACTACCAAACTTCCGAAGTTTGAGAACACATTTTGTGCACGTAGGGTGATTGCATGAGCCGTATGCATAGTAATCAATATCCTCATGGCAGACAGAACACAGCTTATTGACAGACTCAACACCTTCGGTCGTCATTCGAAAAATCCACGCGGGGTAAAGGAAACCAAATTGGCCGCTATGACACTGCAGTGGACCAAACCTTCAGATTCAGATTTATTGTTTGACAATAAAAGGCTTGGAGCCTATGTTAATCCTTTTCTATTAAATTTCTGTGATTGTCCAAACCCTTCTTGAATGAATCATTTGAGGCTGCAGACACCACTTCTTCTGGGAGTCGGTGTCAGAACCAGTACTCAACAGCAGTATGATTTCTTCTTGGCTTTTGAGCTCTCCTGATATGTCCTTTAAGGTGTTCTGACATGGTGGGAAGCAAAAAGGAGAATAGGTCAGGTCCGTAGTCATTATATAAAATTTTAAACATTGTGATTAAATCTCCTCTCTGCCTATGTATGACAGGGAGAAGAGATTTAAACTGTCTAGTCTTTCCTCATATGATAAGTTAGTCATATCGTGAACCATACGTGTTGCCTTCCTTTGAGCCCTTTCTAGAATGTGTGAGTCCCCTTTTAGACAAGGACTGGCGGCCTGGATGCAGTTTTCAAGTCTTGACCTTTTAGAGGCTGACATGTATATAAGGAGGTGAACATATCTCTGGTGATTCTAGTAAAAGCTCTGCGAATTGCCCATAAGGACCTGAAACTACGTGCAGCCACCGCACGACAGTGTGCTGTAGTTTCTAAACTGTGACTGACTGTGACACCTAAATCCAAATGAGTCTGAACTGATGGAAGTGTTATTCCCTCTAGTTCACTAGAGCATGTCCAGTGGGCATGTTTGCACATTTCGCCACATTGATCGGGAGCATCCATTCTACGGACCGCTCTGACAATTTGTTGAGGTCCCCTTGCAGCGTGGACGTATCACTGTGGCCTTTCAGCTGTCTCCGGGTTTTTAAGTCATCTGTGTATAGTACCACAGGGGAGTCGGTGAGCAGAGATATACAAAATAAATAGGAGACGTCCGAGTACCGTGCCTTGTGGCACTCCAATACGTACTGCTGTCCAAGAGGAGAGTTCCGAGTTGATCCTAACCCTCTGCCTCCTATCCATGATTAATTCCCTGAGCCAATTTAATAATCTACCTTTGATACCCAGACATTCCAACTTCATGAGTAGTCTTTTGTGAGGTACTTTATCAAAGGCTTTGCTGAGGTCTATGAAGACGACGTCAACGAGTCTTCTGTCGTCCCTTGATTTGACCCAGCTTTCTCTTGTAGTGAGGAGGTTTGACAGGCATGAGAGGTTCCTTCGGAAGTTATGCTGTGCTCTAGATAACAAGCTGCTATTTTCTAGATATGCCATGATGCTCTTCTTGATGATTCTTTCCAGTGTCTCGATTAAAGTGCAGGTGAGACTAATAGGCCTGTAATTTGAAGGGCTTTGTCTTGATCCTCCTTTGTGGATGGGGGGTTACTATGGCGTCTTTCCAGTCACGCGGTAACACTCCATTTAGGAGATATAGCTTGAAGATCGTGGTCAAAGGGCCGGCTATGTGAGCTGATAGCTCCTTGAGAAGCCTTGGATGAAGATTATCAGGACCCATTGATTTCCCTGCATCTAGTTTCATCAGGCAGTTGAGCACGATCCATTAAAAATCAACTTTGGTTTCATACCTGCGATGCCTAAAAACATACGCTGTGTGATAAAATACGTAATTCCTGAAACTTATTTTCTTGAAAGAATATAAGTCTATGTATCCAATATCCAATATCGAGGTAGTAATAACCAATTAGATTTCTTTGCGCTTGCTTCTTGATTTTGAAGTAGAGATTCCTGCTATTCTGCGTATTTCGTCCCGTCACTCGACTGCGGTAGCTTTAGTTGACTACAAAAGGAGTGGCGCTGGGATTGACTATTTATTGTTTGTATTATTTGGTGTGTTTAGACTCTGTAGCTACTGTGAATCGGGTTGATCCTTTCACCGATTAGTCCTCCAGTGTCGTCGTCAAAAGAAGAGATCATAATAATTATAATAATAATAACAGATATAATTGGTGTAGGTTATTCAGATTAAAAGACAGAAAACGAAAGAAACGTGAAAACTCACAGCAAATTAAATTTGAAGTTGACATATATACGTATATAATATCAATAATAATAAGTGTAAGCTTAGTAGATGGAGTAGTCCGGAGAGTAAGAAAGGAGAGAATCTAGAAAAGTAAAAGGACGAATTTAGATGTCCACCTATTAATGTTGTATGGTATTTTAAGGGGATACGCCATTTGGACGTAGTCCTTGTTTCGTTGAATGATTGTCCAGCCTTCATGTAAAGCTATCCCTGATGTGGTCATCACTGATACTTTCCAGTACCTTTGATACCACTGGGGTAGCGCTAGTCACCTATAACTAGTGGCATTTTGCCTATTCCCACCTTTGAAAATCAGGGAAAGGATGGTTCTTTTCCACCTCCTTGGCAGTTTCTCTGAATCCATCGAGTGTTGGGACAAGTTGCATAAGGGTCTACAGAGAGATTTGATGCAGTGTTTCGGGACAGATGGCATGACGTCGTCACGGCATGGAACTTTCCAGACGTGAGTCTTTGAAGCCGGGTTTATCTGGTGAGAAACCACTAGGTTTGCCTACTGTGTAGTAGTAGTGCCGCCACTCAGGTCAGTGTCAGTAATATCCACATTACTGTTTAGCTGTTTGTCGAAGGCCAAAATTAATGTTTCAGCCGTCTCCAGACTAGTGAGGTATTGACCGTTTGGACCTACCAAGGCACATGGCCCTTGGTTGGTTGATTTTTTCTCCAGCGTGGATCGATACAGGCTTTTGGGGATCGCCGGGAGCTTTTGGCAAGGCAAGCCTAAAATGACTTCCTGTCACTCCTAACTCTTAAGTTGCATGCTTCACAACTTCCAGGTGTGGCCGTGGTTGGTTTGACTCTTGGATACTGGCAACGTTGATCAAGCTTTCCGCTTTGCTTGCGGAATACGTTGCGTACCTCTCTTCAGCCACGGCGACCTATTTTTCGGCTGTATTTTGACTAAAGGGACGGTATCGGAGACTGTTGTGTGAATTATCTCTTTTGCCAATTCCCACTGTTCATCTGAAGATGACTCGTTCAAAGGCCCCCGCATTTCAGCATAGTCCGCCTTGTTATAGCACAGGTATGGTCGCGTATCGTCCCACTGCAGGCGCTCAAAAAGAACCAGGTCTGCATGGTCACCATTTCCTAGTGAAGTCACGATTTTGACCTTCTTGACATATAGTAGGTCACTAGTTTCAGTGACTTTCCACTAGGGCCCCTCCTGGTGTTTTCTTCAACATTCTCGGTCAGTCCTGAATTTCTAACCGTTTGCAGTAAATTTCCTTGGGGACACACCGATCAAAGGTTCAGTGATTAGGCATTAAAATCTCCGGCTTTGGTGATATGGTCATAGCCCAAGTCCCGTACCCCTGACTGTGCTCTTTCCCGCAGGTGGGTGATCGGCAGATATCACCCAGTGAATGCTTGGTATGGTCTACGGTGAAATGACACCATACGGAGTCTGAGAGTTTAGTAAATAGTGGGACCGTTGCACGCAGACAATTAAGTTGCTTGTCGAAGTATATGGTGACTCCCTTTTCCTTGTTATGCCCTTCTCTACTGACTAGAATCATATCGTTGTCGGCGACAACGGGTGTTAGCCAGGTTTCAGTAAGGATGATTATGTTGATCTTAATATACATTATCTTCCCAACCAGTTTTTATAAACTTTATAACTTTTGTTGCTCGCTTCTTGTTGTTTCAGAGCGGTTCCCTGTTTTGGTGGATTCTGGTGCAATCTCTACTGTCGACAGCTGCACATCTGCTGAACATAATCACAGGAGGTAAATTCTCTCACTTTGGAAGAAGTGTATGATTAGTACTGCAAAGATAAATAATTCATCAAAATTATTAGCCTACAGCATTGATCACTCATCCCTGGATGCCGATTCTCACTGCTTAGGTTGGCTTGTAAATCTGAAGGCTGACGGTCAAGCGTCCACGCCAGATGGCATGCTGTTGTGTTATGTCCGTTCGTTCGTGCGTGACCATAGCTAGCTAAGCATTCAACAGGGCACAACAATTTTCATCATGACATATATTTCGTTTATCACGTGACCAAGTAGGTGTTTTGGTTCGCCTTGGATATACGCATAACAAATAATGTATAAGTGCTTGCGTCAGCACACAACATACTTCGAGGAAACGTCAACACTTCCTCATCTTCTAAACTGGTTTACTTTTCCGTGAACTTCATCTAGTTTGGGGAACAAGCGAATAATTCTGGTGAGTTCGTTGCATGTTATATTTGATCATTAGTTATGTTTATTGCATAGCAACTACAAAGGTCGCCTACATTCCTACTCAGGTCCATCCAAAAACACGAATCGGTGTTGCCAACATAAAATATATGGTCATAGAAAATAGTGATCCTGGAAACTATTTCAAATAAGAAAGCCACATAAACAAGGTAACATGGACTTCACCTGGCACCACACACTGAAAATCCGATGGACTTCAACTTAATCTAATAAAAATAATATATATTTTCCTATCTATGTAGGACACACCAGTTGTACAGGCATTGATAAGTATTATTTAAATTACATGAGTTTGATTTATGGTGAAATTACACGGTTGCTGTCCTCTCTGATATCAGTTAGTGAGTACAATCCGATAGCTAGTCGTTTAACGGAGCACATAATGAAATATAGAAATATTGTCTTCGCATTAACCAGAAAACCCAAGTATTTGTTGGAAAAATTACAAATATTTGGGAAAAAATAAAGCTTGAATTCAATTCCTCCATATAACTTTGTTGTGTGCGGCACTGTATCTTGTTCTTGTTTTATGTTCAAATTGGGTATTAATTTGAAATGAGTGATTTATTTGTATTATCTTGACATTATTTTTATTGCAAGTAATACCAGATGTGAATTCAACTGAATGCAGATTAATATTGATCATTGTCAAGCAGATTTGTTTTACCGCACTCAAGTCACCCAGAGCCCGCCATTTGTCACTGCATGGTTGTTCCGTACGGGCAGAGGATAGAGGCACAAATCAGCTGATTGCTGCAGTTTGT